GTAAACGTTCATCTGAAGCACAATAAAATATAAACAATTAAAATACTGAAAACATACCAAGTATGCTCTCCAGCCACAGAGAAATAAAATTAGAAATCAACAACTGAAAGAAATTTCGGGAATTCACAAATACGTGAAATTAAACAGCACACCCCGAAATAACCAATGGGTCAAAGAAGAAATCACAAGAGAAATTACAAAATACTTTGAGATAAATAAAAAGGAAGACACAACATACCAAAACTTATGAGATGCAGCTAAGTGTTCAGGGGGCAATTCATAGCAATAAATGCCAATATTAAAAAAAACAATAATCTCAAATTAATAACTTAACCTTTCACCTGAAGACACCAGGAAAAGAAGAACAAACTAAACCTACAACAAGCAAGCAGAAGAAAGGAAATAATAAGGATTAGAGGAGAAATTAATGAAACAGAAAATAGAAAAACAACAGAGAAAATCAACAACAGACAGGATTAAAAATTGACAAATCTTTAGTTAGAATGCCCACAACAAAGAGAGAGAAATGAGTCAAATGACTAACATCAGGAATGGAAGAGGGGACATCACCACCAACACTACAGAAATGAAAAGGGAAATAAAGGAAGACTATGAATACCCGTATGCCAACAAATTAGATAACTAAGATGAAATGGACATGTTTCCAGAAAGATACAAACTGCCAAAATTGACTCAGGAGGAAATCTGAATAAAGCTATAACAAGTAAAGAGACTGAATTAATAATTAAAACACTTCTCCTAAAGAAAAGCTCAGGTATAGATGGTTTCATTGGTGAAGTCTACCAAAAATTTATAGAAAAATGAATACCAATTCTTCATAAATTCTTTCAAAAAACAGAAAAGGAAGGGACACTTCCCAACTCATTCTGTGATGCCACTATTAATCCTGGAAATTAATCAAATTAAACCAAAATCCTGCAAAAATCACAAGAAGAAAAAAAAAAGTACAGCCTGGTATCTCTCATTAATTTTAAAAAAAAAAAAACGAAACCACTGCTATCAAGCCAACTCCCTACAGGAACACAGTAGAACTGCCCCATGGGGTTTCTCAGGCTGTGATCTTTGCGGGAGCAGATCACCAGGTCTTTTCTCCTGTGGAGCTGCTGGTAAGTTTGAACCGCTGAGCTTTCAGTTAGCTGGTGAGCGCTTAACCAGTGCGCCATCAGTGCTGCTTCTCTTACGAACACGGACTCAAAAATCCTCAATAAAGTACTAGCAAAACAAATCCAGGAGTATATAGAAAAGATTACATACCATGACTAATCGGGATTTATTCCTGGAATACAAGATTGGTTTAACGTCTAAAAATTACAGGAAAAGCGTACGACAAATCCCTGCACCCTTTCATGATAAAAACACTCAATAAACTAGGAATAGAAGGGAACTTCACCAACGTGATAAAGGGAATCTAGAAAAAACTCACGGCCAACCTCGTACTTAATGGTAAACAATCACATGATTTTGCCCTAAGATCAGGAACAAGTTGAAAGACGTCTACTCCCGTCACCCGGATGGAGCAAGCTTCCCGGGAGGAAAGGGGGCCGTGGAGGGACCCAGCACGGAACACGGGGGCAGGCAGAGAAGGGGAACCACCGTGACAGGCCTCATCGTACCTCATCGGTCTGGGACACCCGTCCGTCGGCCAAGGGCTCCAACTCAGCGGTGGCCGGGGCAGACAGGATGCTGTGATCGAGAGACAGACAGAGGTCAGCCGCTACGGCTGTGAAAGCAGCCACCACCTTTGTGAAAAATCACAACACAATGGTCCCCAGCATGCTGGCCGTGTCCAGGCCGGGTCTGGATCCTGAGCAAGGCCACCATCACGCTCTGCCACGTCAGCAAGGCCAAACGGAGGTCCACGTGGTGCTGTCCAAGGAGAGGGTGTGCCGGCTACGAAGTGCGGAATCCGCGCAGCCACATCAGGAGAAAGAGGGGCTGGGCGATGGGGGCCACGCACGGCAGCGGGCGTGTGACCTCGGCACTACGAACAACTGGGGCCCACCATTCCCTGCGGTGGCGCCGTCCTGGGCATCGTACGACGCGCCGCAGGACCTCTGGCCTCCACCCACGAGACGCCAGTAGTACCCCCACTGTGACAGTAAAAACGTCACACTGCCGTGGTTATTGCTCTTGGGGGGCACGAAGACCCCGGTGGAGAGCCCCTGGGCTAAGACAAGCAAAGAGAAGAAAGGACACGCCCAGGAGAGGGGCCGGTGCATGTCAGGGCTTTGGAAAGCGCGGGTATTTATTAATTCAACCAGCTCTGTTAATGCGCCCAGCACTCACCAAGCTCACCCGCTGTCCGTCTCTGACCTCTGGGTTCAGGATGGTACGGGAAGGGTGGCGAGGGGAAGGAGGGCCTGGCAGCAGCATGGTTTGGCCAGAGAACAGAGGACAGAGGGGGTCCCAAGAGAAAGGGGAGGTGGCCTAATCACGGAGCCCAAGAGCCGAGCAGGAGAGCAGGACTATTTAGCCAGGCAATAGGGAGCTACAGCAGGTGGCTGGGTGAGGGTGTTCCCGAGCCGAGCTGGTGGACCCAGAGCCAGCCGGGGCCGTCAAGCACTCACTCACCGGCACAGGGCGGGCAGCTGAAAGCGCTCGACGCAGAGCTGCACGAAGGCTCGGAGGTCCGTCTTGCTAATGCCACCGATTGGGTTGATGTCGGCACTGGAGCAGTCGTACTTGGTCAGGTAGCCAAGGAGGCTGCAGTGAGAGAAAGAGACAGCGAGCACGGGGTCCCGTTCTCCCCTCAGTGGGGCCTGACGGTCCTATAGCTGTCACCAGGAGTGCGCTCCCTCTGGAGCCCGGGAGCACACGGAGGGTCTAAGGGAAGCCGCGGTGGCTGTAGCAAATGAGGAAGGGGCAGAGGGGCAGGCGCCACGGAGAGGTGTCTGTACGCCAGAGACTGCGGCGGGGCCGGGGCCCATGGGAGTCAGCGTCTGGGTGGGGTGGCCTGTCTGAAGGCGAAGGCTGGGCTAGGGTGGCACAGAGCTGAGGATGGTGAGAGATGCTGAAAAGGAGGACGAGGCAGGACCACAGCCAGCAAGGTCCCTGGCCTGGACGGAGAGGGCCATCCACGATGGCCGCCTGCAACTCCCAACACTACCCGTGGTCGACACAGGACTGCCCCAAGACGTCCACAGAAGCCGTGAACATGTGACCCGACGTGGCAAAATAGAGCCAGCGGTGGCTCAGCGGTAGAGCTCTCGCCTTCCACGCCGGAGACCCGGGTTTCACTCCCGGCCGATGCACCACACGTGCAGCCACTGCCCATCTGACAGTGGAGGCTTGTGTGCTGCTGCGATTCTTAACAGGTTTCAGTGGAGCGTCCAGACTAAGACAGAGCAGGAAGAAAGGCCTGGTGATCTACCTCCAAAAATCAGCCAGTGAAAACCCTATGGATCGCAATGGTCAGATCTAGGACTGATCACAGGGACGGTGCGGGACCGGGCAGTGTTTCGTTCCACTGTGCACAGGATCTCCACGAGTCGGGGGCCGACTGGACGCCAGCTAATAACAACAACAGCAACGCAGGACCAAAGGGTCTTCACAGACAGGATTACGCTACGGGTCTTAGCTGAGGTGAGAAGACTAGCCTGGATTTTCAGGTAGGCCTGGCATCATTACTAGGATTCTGTAAGAGGGAGGGAAGAGCTCATCAAAGGCAGAAGAAGGAAGATGGGGTCATGGAGGAATGGCTGGAAGGATGCTACATTGCTAGCTTTGCAGATGGAGGAAGGGGCCACAAGCCAAGGGATGCAGGCGGCCTCTAGAAGCCGGAAAAGGCAAGGAAATGGATTCTCCCCTGGAGCCTCTAGAAGGAGCCAATCCTGCCCGCATCAGTGAGACCGTGTTGGACTCCTGACCTCCAGAACTGTGCGATAATACGTGTGCTGTTTCAGCCACCAAGACGGTGCTGACTTGTCACAACAGCCACAGAAGACTCATACGGCCCTCCAATGGATCCGTCTCTCCCCACTCCACGGCTCCAGCCACCCGGTCCAGGCTACCGCGTTCTCCCGCTGGACCGTGGATGACCACCATCTCCTCCCTCTGTACCCCAAGTCCAGCCCATCCCAAGTGATCGTTCCCCTGCCGCTCCCCTGCCATGACCTCCTCAACAGTTCCCTTCACTTGATGTGGTTCCGAGACACGGCCCCTTCCTACCTCCTCAGGGGCCTTTCTCAACACTCCCCCTGCACAGCCACACACCTGCTTCGTGAGCTCGGTGCAGCGCATCACAAACAGCGTGCTCCCCCGGACACCTTTTTAGCTCAGTACTGAAGTCACTCCTGAGGTTCACCCTTCAGCCCAAGATTAGACAGGCCCATAAAACAAAATGAGACTAAATGGGCACACCAGCCCAGGGGCAAGGACGAGATGACAGGAGGGGACAGGAAAGCTGGTAATGGGGACCCTAAGGTCAAGAAGGGGAGTGTTGACACATCATGGGGTTGGCAACCAATGTCACAAAACAGTACGTATATCAATTGTTTAACGAGAAACTAATTTGTTCTGTAAACCTTCATCTTAAGCACAACAAAAAACAAACAAACCACAGCACGCTAGCGTCCTTCCACCTGAAACCTCCGCACACCTGGTCTGCCAGAAAACACACCTGGGCTAGAAGCCCCCGGCCCAGTCCAGCTCCCCTGCCCCTCACGCACTGACTTTTTCCCATGTTTCAAGAGAAAGACCAACCTCCGCCCCGTCCCAACTCTTACTAAGATGCAATGCCAGGCCTCAGTTTCCCCATCTGTTTGGTGAGTTGATGGATGGTCTCCCAGGGCCGGCCATGTCCTGACCACACACTGGTCTGCGAGAAATGATGTCACCCCTGGGTGCTGCAAATGGTTTACATCTGGCTACTAACCTAAAGGTTGGCAGTTGGAACCCCCCCAGTGGTGTCATGGAAGAAAGGTCTGGCGATGTGTTTCCGTAAAAGCACAACCAAGAAAACCCTACAGAGCAGTTCTATTCTGTAACATGTGGGGTCACCAAGAGTGGGAATCAACTCCAAGGCAACTGGTTTGGGTTTGTTTTGGTTTGGGTTCCACCTCCGCCATGAGTTAATGGGGAAGATACAACTCCTCCTCCATGTATTTCATGGGTACTGTGAGAACTGGTAGATTCCGTGAAAACATGGCCTCCAGGAGCACATCGCCCTCAGAGACGGGGAGCCCGTTACCGTGTGTCCCTGGGCCATACGCACCTCTCATCCACATTGGCAGATCCAAGCACAAGGAGCCCCCCGCGGATGCCCCGGGACCAGAGGCTCAGCTGGGCAAACAGGTAGGCGAGCACCATCCTGATTCGAGCCTGGATGAATCACACGAGGGAGAAAGAATGAGCCGGAAAAAGGGCCTGTGGGGAAAAGGCATACTGGCGAGATTTCCACCACAGCTCAAGAGAAGCGTTTCCACCAAGCTACCTCTTGACAAAAAGAAAACTTAAATGACACCAGGGGTCCCTGCGCTCAGAGAAACGAGAGTCTAAATCTGGAAGCTTTAAGGCCCCCGTGCAGGCTCAGCAGGACGCTGGGCTTCAAAGACAGAAACTATGGGGCCCTGGGGGGACGAGGGCCAGAGTGGAAGCCACCTCGGCCAGCCCATCTCACTCCTGTGACCACTGGCATTTCTGAAGGAAGGAAGGGCCACCCGCACCCAGCAGAAAGGGGCCAAGAGGCAGGATGGGTGCCAGCTGCTGGAGCCAGGGCCTTCTCTCTGCAGCGACTGGCCGGGGGTGTCTGCACGCCTCGCCCTGCACTCTCACACATACACACACGCAGATACACTGTCTCACCCACTCTCTCACATGCACGATGCACATGCACACACAACACTCACGTGGTCATGCACACACACGGATACACACTGTCTCACCCACACACGCACGCGTGCACTCACAACAGTCACATTCCCACGCACACACTCATACATTTTCTCACGCACACAGCACTCCCACACATGTTCACGCACAGACTCATACATTTTCTCACCCCCACACACGCACCCATCCGCACACTCTCCCACTCCCACAGCAGACACAACATCCTGACGCACCCACACAGCCACGCACCCACTCACACAACTTGCAGACTCAGCTTATACTCAGAACCCTCATATACACTCTTACACTCCCACGTACTCACACACTCCACTCTCATTCACATTCACGTTCACACACGTGCTTTCCTGCACACTCATACCCCACACACAGTCACACACGTGTGCAGCCACACACACACACTTCCATACACATACCCTAGACTTGTCCTGAGGCCACATGACCCACGTCTCTAGTGAGGCATGCAGGTTGCTGGCCCAACCCTGGCAGCCCAGACCCCCGCGGCCCCCCAGGTGACGGCCCGGGCCCCCGCGGCCCCCGAGGTGACGGCCCGAGCCCCACAGGCCCCCAGGCTGCCGCACCTGCACGTTCTGCAGAGCCAGGTTCTCCCTGCTGCTTCCCCCGTGCACTGCAAACAGAGGGCGCTTCCCGGTCACTAGGCTGAAGACGCCCACGACAGCCCTCACCGCAGGGTCTATGCTGAGACCGATGTGGTGGCTGGAAGGGAAACAGTAAGGTCAAGGGGCAGCTGGTACGTGCCCGAGCAAGCACGCTAACACAAACGCCACCGTGCTAACCGATTCAGGTGGCACAGCTCAGGGACATTTCACCCCAAAAGGAGACCAC